AGCGAGCGCTGTAGCGAACGCGGCAACAGCGTCTCGAGACACTGTGCAAGTGTGCAGTGAGATGAGCTGTAATTGTGAAAGCGGTTAAATGTTCTCATCGGCACCGTGAAGGCGCGCGCCTTCGAAATACTTGCGCGTAGATGTTAGAAAGATAGGGTTCCGTGGCTCATGTTCGGTGCAAAGCGCCTCACTAGCCAAATTAAATATGAAAGCAGCACGCTTCATCAGATTTCGTATACGCATGCGAAGTGCCGCTTGCGTTACATACGACACGATGGCTCTATTCCTCGTGCTTTACTTGTCAGTCTCAGCGCGGCGTAACAGTATGCAAGACGTACTTGTGCACACATGGCGTTCTAATACGTTGCGGATTTCCCGCTAGGCATGCAGGATTCTCTCTGAGGAACACAAGCTCAACAATTTCGCGTCGATTGTGATCTTCTGTCCGTTAGGATCTCATTGATCGGCTCATCGCCTGCGACCTCTTAGTGCCATGAGTCGTCTCAATTGACTGTGCCTTGTAGCCCTAACCGATCAGTGTGGTGTCCGTCATCTTTGGTGCTGTGTAGCTCTCGCCAGATCGGCGCAACCCGTCTTCGAATGTCGTCTGACTGTTTCCATCTTTCCTAGCCCTTCTCTACTTCTGTGTGTGGGTTATCTTCTTCTTATCATCCTCTATTATCTTCCTATCTCTTTCACTCTTCTTCTCCCACCCAATCCATCTGCCGACCCTTTGAGATGCCCTCGTAAGGAGAGACAGTTACGGGTTGGCACTTTTCTTTTCATTTCCTTTTGATAACCACTCAGAGAGCAGAGTGCAGAATGGCGCAGTGTAACGCTGCATCTATACGTAGACCTCATGCATTTGCTACACTACGAATAAAGTACGCGTAGCGTGTGTAGTGCCGGTACCTGTAGCGTTAACATGGGGTGCGGTGCATTTGCGATTGCGATTCATCCTGAGTAATCAGGCTACACGGCTATACAATGAAAGCAACCTGCCCGATATGCAGTGCAACACTGATTATCTCTAGCTGTGTGCAGTTAATACTGCACTTGTCACTTGAAATACTTGTTTGAAAATAGATGTTCTGAGTTTTATAATATACATGTAAAGTGTGTACTGTGTTACCAAATAGTGCAGATTCATACATTGCAACGAGACAGCTAAATCCATTTAAATATTATAAGCAGTCACTTGCATGTGGGCAGTGCCATAAAGCTTAAGTGGTGAGGTTTGGTAGAGATGTGTTTGTTAAATAAATGAGGTTTGTAACGTGCTCTGCATGGCGTCTAGGAAATAAGTGTTTTAACTGCTGCAATTCAAGAAAATGATGTCCATCTGCCGCCTTAGGCTCACATTTTCAAAACCCATGGTGGACTGCTTGCTATTCCAGTACTACAGAAGCTTCTAAGGTGGTACTCTTTATTCTCGTAAGCTGCGTGAATCCTCTGTAATAGGAACTTTAGCTCTTTGAATTAGACCGAGTTGTTTCATGTTTGTATACAGACAGCGCAACTCAGACGAAGACAGCAGACACATAGATGCAAATAAGCCCCGGTTGACAACTGTTTTAGTTTAAATTTATTTATAGCTACAATCAACACATTACACAATACATTACATATTATGAAAGCTCATTTAAAAATGAAGTTTTTTGTATTAAGGTTCATTTGCTACCTGTCAAACCAATCAGTTATTTTCGTCAGGTTGATATTCAGTGAAACGTGGTCTTCACTGTTGTGTATTTCCTGATATATTATAGAATCGTCTGCAAAAAGTTTAACTTTATTATCAATGCACATTCTTATGTAATAAATGAATATCAAAAATAACAGCGGGCTCATTACTGAGCCCTGTGGGATGCCTGAAATCACAGGCACAGGAGCAGATAAAATGTTTTCGGTAATGAGAAATTGGGATCGGTAAGGTAAAAAGCTCTTTATCCACGTAGTGATGGAACCGTCACCAATCACAGTAGTAATTTTGTCAATCAGTTTGGTATGGCACACACAGTCAAATGCTTTACAGAAGTCTAATACAAGTGCGTCTGTTTCATTATGATTGTTAATACCTAATGCGAGATCATGAACCACCTCTGTAAGCTGAGTGACTATCAATAGGCCTCTTCTAAAACCATGTCGAACGTCAACCAGAATGTTTTCTTCAAATTATGTGGTTAATTTCTTGAGTACAATGTGCTCCAAAATTTTGCATGATGTGCTGGTAAGAGAAATCGGTCTGTGGTTGGATGGTACATAAGTGTCTCTTAACTTACGAATCAGTACAATTATTGCGATCTTTCAATATGCAGGTCGGTCAGACGTCGAAAGTGACTTGCAGAAAATACGTCACTTTCGACGTCAGCTCTACCTGCAGATATCAAGATCACAAAATTGTACCGATCCATAATAATTACAAGTTACTGGGAAGTCACTCATGCCCTATTTTGTCATAAAAATAATCACAAGTAAGATGAAGTATGTGTGCAATCTTTGACTGGTTGTATTCACTGTAAGCTAAGGAAGATTGTATTTTTTGCATCGTTTCCAGAATGTAACACGTGAAGTAACTTGCCAAATATGGTAATGCCTTCGAAAAACTTATTTACTGCAGGAATACTGTGCACAGTAAAGCAAAGTGACAGCACAATGACAACAAATCGGTTAAATTAATCACATCTCAGTGTTTCTTCTTATTTCGTGGCAACTTTTCGGGTGAACATCCACAAAGATGTAGTGGTCACATTTGTGGACAATGTGTCTGAAGTAGGCTGCATCACTCGCCTCTTAGGTAAAACAAGAATGTTCTTTCATTAACAAAATATAAACTAGTAAACAATCAAGTATTCAGAGGGAGACTTGATTTTCAGAACACTGTCAGACCAAGCACAATTCAAGGTTTACTGAGTGTATGCGAGCCATTTGGTGTACATCCTAGTGTGAAACATCATGAAAAATAGGACAGTAAGTAGAACACAGATGCAGCTCTAACTAACAAGTGAGTCTTCATTATCGTTTAACCAGCAATAAACAGCAAATAACAAACATGCAACATCACTGAAATCGCACTTCTTATTTAAACTGTGCCATTGCTAAGCCTGTATGTCGTACATTATTGTCCTCACTTTTGCTCGCTGTTTCAAACTCAAGGTTCACTCTTGTCATGTGGTAGTGGCACTGCGCATGAAGGTCCACTTAGTTGTGTCGAAATGTGCCAATAGCCCATATCAGTCAGTGTATCAATGTACACCTGAAAGAAAGCCACACTTATTAAAGGCTCCCCCCCTCTCATTTACCTAGCTGCTGTCACGCCTGTGTTTGCATACATGCAGTTTTTCAATGGTACCACTGTTCTGATACACAGTGGGCACAGGACGCATTAAATAGCTGAGGCTTTTTTATACATCAGATTTAAAGCTCAACAAAAGCACATTCTGTCCTTCAATTGAATTAGATGTTGTGAGAAGATTGAATTCACATATTTAGTGCCCCCCAAGTGTACCAGTACATACATGTTTGCACCTTCAGGCTTTTTATTTTGTTCCAACATTGTAAGGCAACTAGTTCAGTTATTCATCCAGCTAAAACATGAGCACCCAGAGGCCATTCTACTTATTCTCAGCTAAACATTGCTCCAGTCACACCATCTGCATCGTCTCCAAAATTTTCATCTTTAGAAGTCTCTATCAAACAACCAAGAAAATGAGCCCTTAAAAGCATCTGAAAACTCGATTTAAGAAGCACAAAAACCCTTTCCTTGTCTCGCTTTATTCACTCTTATGCACGGTCTACTCATCCAAGCAGCATGTTGTAGTCTGTTGGGTGCCATGACACCGCGAAATACAAGGCAACATTCTGGTGGACCAGCTAGCTGCATCCGTCAACAAAACTGCTACCAATACATTGATACCAATTCCTGTGCTTCACTTGTAATCTTTTCGAAAGCGAAAGCTCGGGTGTTAGTGGTAGAGCGCATGGGACACACACAGGTAATAAATTGCATGTCATCAAGCCGCAGCTTGGTCATTGGCGACCTATATCAAAATCACGTTACACAGAAGTAATACTTACGAGGTTAAGAACTGGACATACATACACTACACCTTCATTTCTTTTGTCTGGTGGCGATCCACCTTTGTGTGATAGATGTGGAAAAGCGCTCACAGTACTTCACATTCTGATGCAATGTAAAGAGTTATACCCCTGTCACACGGGCACCCGTAATGACCGTTTAACTCCCTCATCTTTACGACAACGAAGATGCAGTTGGTGTCACATGGCCACCCTTACGCAAACGAAGGTGAACGGAGCATTTCGCAAAGGACGTTCAACGATCTCCCTTCGCAGCGAAACGAGGTACTCTCGTTCCCAGCAGTCTAGAGGTCAGAGAAAAATTTCGAGCACTAAAGTGACCACAGTGAAAGAATAATACATTTTGGCAATATTAAAAGTTCTTTAGTTGCAGTACTCGTTCAAAACGCGTGTTTGTTTACATATATTTACGCCCGCCAGAGTTCACTTACTCTCAACCCCGATGCCCTACACACGTGCCTCGGGAGTCCCGCGTGCCGGCGCCATTAAAAAATATTTCGTGCACGTGTGTGGTTGTGGTCGTTGCCGTGCTGACGTTTAAAAGAAATGACTGACAACGCTGGAACATCGTCACCTGCCTCGACGGCTGCAGAAACGATTAATGGGACCCCACCAAATCCAAGAGTAACATGGAGTGAAAATGACACTTGGGTGTTGATTAGAATCTGGGAGGACCACCTTCTTGAGCTCCGAGGAGAAAAACATAACGCCAGAGTGTATGACGCCATTGTCGCCGCTCTTGCAAAGATGGGTATTTTGAGGACGCGCCGACAAGTGCAAAACAAAATTGACAACCTCACGCAGAAGTACAGGTGAGTTCGCAGACTGTTGAATGCATACAGCAGAAAAGCACGCGTGTTCCTAACAGCTGGTGTCTAGTCATGTGCTAACCCGTGTAAGTTTTTGTTTGCACTTCCAGTTGGTGCTATTGCACGAAGCACATTTCGTTACAAGGAGTTATTTTGAGGGGCTAATTCTGTGTAGATATTCTGCCGTTGCGTTATTTCTGCGTGTCAACTCAACGTTCAACTTTGTTTATCTGGAATGAGGCATTTGTTAGGCTTTCTTATAGGAATGAGGTAGCTCGTGCGCGTTACCTGGCTAAAAAAAAAAAAACGTGCATTTGGGTCACCATGAACATCGAAGTATTCAACTGATTACCTGCGTACGCATCCTATCTTATCTTTTAGGACTCCCAGTATTTGTGAGCATTGGTAAGCAACCTACGAAATGAGCTACATGATTGAGTAAAATTGAGACGAGCTACTAGTCTTTATTTAGGTTTTCATTCTGAAACATCAAAAATAGCTTGCAATTGCCTTGCATTCATTGTTCACCGTTTTCATTTTTGGCATGATGCAACAGCACAGGCTTGCGCGTCTACACAAGAAAATAAGAAACAAATGTTGCTAACCTGTGACATGGAGCTTGACACGAATGTATAATGCAGCGCACTCACCTGCTAGGAAATTAACCGAAAGTTATGTAGCAAGTCCAGAGAGAATGTGGTTATACATTACATCACTGCTTTTCTAATGGTAAATTGTGTTATCAGTAAAGAAGCCCGGGAAAAAACTACCGGATCTGCACCTAGTGCTTGGCCATTTTTCATCGAACTGCACAGGTTTCTGGGCACACTGCCCATAAACGACCGCTCTCTCGTGCAAGAGAGTTGCCCTTCACCAAGGGGAAATGTCGATGAGGTATGTAAATCATTTGTATAAGGTAATGCCATTACGATAACAACTAAAAATTTTCGGTGCCACGAGCAATTGGTGATTGCAGAATGCAACCTAAGAATGCGACACTCCAAACTAAGCTCTAAATTCTAATGTCAATTGTGATTATAGACTTCACTCAAGGGCATTTGATATCTACAAGCAATGGAAACAATAAAAAAGCAGCATGGGATGAAACTATTGCACTAATGTGGCCCCAAAGAACGAGCTTTTTGTCGCAACTAAAGCTTGGAGTACGTCCTTCTGAGGCTAATCGACATGATTAGTTCTTTTTTTTGCATGCTTCATTCTTGCAATACTTCAAGAATGTGCAACATCATAAATGCCACATTAGGCTGAAAGCAGCTTGATGTTGTGGCACGCACTAACAGATTTTTGTCTTTCAGATTATTCGGGGCATGGAGACTGGGTCAAGTCTGTCCTCAGATGAAGACGGGGCTACTGAAGGTTGCTCCGCGACAGATGCCTGCAGCAGTGTCTCGGACCTCCTGCAGGAACCCCAGCCTAGCACCAGCACGAGCCAGCCTGGCACCAGCACGAGCCAGCCACGTGGCAAGCGTCGAGCTCAAAAGAGAAAGCGGATGTCCGCCAATGAAAAGTTTCAAAGTGCGCTGCTTGAACAGCAAGCGAAGCTTATTGCAGCACTGGAGACTGCCACGCAAATGAGCAGGGTCTGCGTGAACGGCAGGTGGCAACACAGGAAAAACTTGTGGACCTGTTTTCGAAATATTTCAATAAATAAGTTTTCTCTAATTACTTCAATAAGCATTTGTTTCTTTCAGGCCCCTATTGTTTGAGTAGTATACATACTGATGTGCTTCACTGGTTGAACTGCAGACAATTATTAAGGGCACAACATGCTTTTATTATTACAGACACATTTATAACATAAAGTCCAAAGTAAACATGATACCCAATTTACGACAAGCCATAACTTTTCAAAATATGATCTCCAGTCCTTCCCAATTTCAAAAGATGACAGCGAACGTTTGCTTTTCAGACCCGGTGAACATACTTTACAAGGTCCAAAAAGGACAGAACAATGGAGATAAAAATGTGCAAATTTAAGAAAAGAAAGTGTGAAATATGCACACTTGGAAATTTTTTACAAACTTCAAATAAAAAAAGAAACATACATAGGTGTGGTACTAGGTGGGGAAAGGGATTACACAACAAAGATTCAACATGGATACTTAAAAAAAGGAAACTGCTCGTGCACACACAAATGATAGCAATATCGACTCCAAGGCACATCCCAAGAAGCTCACGGGATGTTTTTAAAAACACAGCAACACAGCAGGCTCAATGACACCTTCAAAGCAGACTGGTAAACCTACTGAGCTTTAAGCTGAAGCTTCTTGGTCTCTTTTTAGAGCAAATAATTATTTTTTGTTTCATACCCAACTCAACAGAAATCTAGCTGTCTCTGTGCTGCTGAAAATATTGCACGAGTGCATCCCTAACATCTCTGCCACATCCAACTTGCATGGCTGTGATGTGGTGTGGTTGCTCGTACAGTGCGTTTTGCATGTCTGCCTCGTTTATCCATTGCTGGGATACACTGTCATTGAAGGGTTCACAAATGTTGTTCAGCACACAGCATGCTCTTATTATTACAGCAACATTCGTGACATCGCACTCCATACGCTTCATGACAAATCTAAAGCGGGCCTTCAGTCTTCCAAAGGCATTCTCCACAATTCGCCTAGACCTTGACAGCTGGTAATTGAATTATTTTTCGGCAGAGGTTTTACTTAAACCAGGGAAAGGCTTAATCAAATTGGGCATCAGCGGGAATGCTTGGTCACATAATAATAATGGTGGCACAACAGAACTGTTGACAGAAATTGTAGGACTCCGAAATGTTGGTCCTGTCACAATGCTTGGCAAGCTTGAACTGTGGTAGACATGGGCGTCGTGGCACCTGCCTGGGGAACCGACGTTGATGTATCGAAAGCGATATTTGTGGTCCACCAAAGCCAGTAAGATCACACTGTACCTGCAAGCATATTACCATCACAATAAGGAGATGACAGTGCACAAACCACTTCACAGTCACATTGTATACAATTGTAATAGAAACATGCCGATGCCGTGTACACATGCATTATGAGGCGAGATGTGGCATGTATGTGTGGCCATGCTAGAACAAAACTGTTCTTGAGCTGTGTGCTGGAATGAGACACCGTAATATAGATGATGATTAACATCTGAAATATTGTTTAGTGCATACTAAAGCTTATCCAAAATAGGCATCATACATTTGATATGATTTTTTATCAAATGTCACTTTCAATAACGAATTCATATTTTATTCACTTAAGAGTTTATCTGTTTATACCCATGGGCTGATGTTTTCGTGTTCATTGTGTGTTCACCAAGTTTTCGTATACAATAATGTATCAAGCAGCCCAGCTTTCAACTTTGATGTAAGTTGTACACACTTACCAGCCCTTGTAATTGTAGTAGTCGATGGCATTTTCTTTGGGAGGCGAGACAGGGAAATGACAGCCATCCAGTGCTCCAACTGCCTGAGGGAAGCCAGTGACAGCATAAAATTCACGTATGTGGTGGGTCATTTCATCAGCTGCAAGCATCCTGACCCACTGATCTTCTAGGGCTTCCACGACGATGTCACAAAATTCTCTATATATCGTGTTCACCGTCGACCTGCCCAGGTCAAACAAATTGGCGACTGTTCTATCTTCAGCAGAGGAACACAGCTTGTAGAGAGCAACAGCGACCCTTTTTTGCACAGACACCGCTTCCCGCATGTTTGTAGTCTGTCGTTGCATTACTGGCGTACATACGTCTACAAGATATTTGAACGTAGTACGTGAAACTCTGAATGACTGCCAGAAGTTCTGCCCTGCCTAGGTTTGGGAGCGTGTCCTCAAACCAGCGAGAGAATCGTGGATATGCCCAAACTCGCCTTGACGCACGCCTCGATGACAACGCCATCGCATTCAGCGTCAGGCTGTTCGCGACGAGACGGTGCCTTATAGCATGCACACGGGCTCTAGCAGCCTCAATCTCAATATCTATGGAGCCGATCAACGTCATTGCCAGCGCAATATCGTACCACTTCCTCACGTCCTCCGCTGTGTCACTCATGGCTGAAAAACACAAAATTTGCGCTCACGAGGCAAGGAAGCACAAGAATTTTCGTACCGGGCATGTACACGGGCACCTTTCTCTGTGTTCACGGGCAACAAAACAACTAAAAGCACAATGTGGCAGGCGTCACTAGCAGCATCGCTACATTTAGCAAATGCGTTTTTATTTGAAATTATTTTTAACGGTTTGTTAGTCGCACACCTACTTAGTAGGGCTTTTTGTAAAAACCACATAACGAGGATTTACAAAAAAATCAATAGACATGAAATGAGAATACTTTCCCGAAAATCAAACCGCGCCAGCTGAGCCCCCTCGCGGCGACTGTTACAACCTTGTCATTGCCGTGTGACACTACCACAACTCCTTCTCCGTCGAACCCCCTAGGGAAGATTTACGTCGACAGCGTTCAACGGAGTTTAGTGGTGGCCGTGTGACAGGGGTATTAGACACGCTAAGAAGACAACACTCCATTTCCCTACCGACAGCAGATACCACTTCATCCTGCAATGTTCATCTGTAGGGAACCACTTTTTACACATAAATCGGTTTTGCTTTTTTGAGAGAACTTCATACATTTCACAGTGCAACCCGATGATAAACTGCTTCTGACGTATGATACACGAAAAGAACAGCAATCATATGACACATAAAAGATACAGGGGCGACAAGAGATGGCTTTCAAGTAAAAAGCAAAGCACTGCCTGCACTTCCACACTTCAGCTTTAAAGTTGCTGTTTCGCCATCGATGGCATTAAAACACACAACACTGGGAGCTGCACCTGTAGCTGCCATGAGGCACAGCAACCGTATGACACACAAAAAACACAGGGGCTACAAGGGATGACTTTCAAGTAAATAAATAGCACAGTACTGTCTGCACTTCGAAGCTTCAGCTTTGAAGCTCCCGCTACAACATTGATGGCATTAAAACACACAGCACTGGGAGTGGTAGATGTAGCCGGCAAAGGGCACGGCAGTTGTGAGTGGGAGTACACAAAGTCCTCAAAATGTTGCCGCAGTCAACAGTGGCATGGTGTACTTGCGTCGCCATAGGATGATGTGAGTGGCCTCGATCAGAAGCGAATTTCAGGAACGCTTCTTAAAACGAAAGCCTATCTTGAGCAGCATCCTGTGAATTGTTGTCGCGGACATGGACGGCAGCGAGTCATCATCTTTGAAGTATGCGGCGAGCTTGCACACTGTTGGAATCTCCCGCCGTTTATAGAAACCGTGCATGACTCTGCGCATCACACCACAGTTGAAGTTGTCCAGCAGCTGCTCTCGATCACTCCCCCTGCCACCGCGAGACAGCGTCTTGGTGCTTATCGTGCTCCGCTACCCACTTGTACAGCGCATGCTTGCTGTCGTTGGTGTACGTAGCCTTTTCTTAATGAGAGAGCTCATGCTTGCATTTCTGCCGAACTGTCCTGAACACATTTTCTTTATGAACTCTCCTGAACGCATTTAGAGCCAACTGCTTAGCTCTCTTGCCGAAAAAGCTAATCCAAGAATGATGTCGCACACGTGAACCAGGCACTGCTATTTTGAAAGGAGTGACCAAATCTGTTACCGTGCACTAGTCGCAACTCAAGACTGTTCTCCGCGGCCCTGAGGATGCTCGGGCTGTGTGGACTACTCATAAAAGTTCAGACAATGTCTTATCATTCCTTCGTACTTTATAAGTAAAAGCATGACACATACGAGCCATAACAGCTTTATTTCTTTCATCATTTGCATGTTATAACATGTACAAGCAAGAACTCCTTCTTCAGTATCATGGAGCCACAAAAATTGTTTTATACAGAAAATGAGAGAAAATTGTCAAATCACAGCTACAACACGCAGAGAAGCCTTCAAGTAAAAGTCTTCCGACAAGACCGCTTGCAAAAATCGTGAGGATAAATAATGGGCACCGTATACGGGGCACTACATCTCGTTTCGCAACAACATGCGCTCAATGGTCGTGTAGCCTTGACTCTGCTGCACGGAACTTCTGGAACAGAGTGTAGGTGTTTTGTTAACAGCTGAAAAAAGTACAGTGCTGTTCTTTTTTTTTTTTAGGTGTTCTGCATTACAGGCATTGCTTCAGCCAGGGCTGCAATGCAGAATGTCCTGCAGTTTGATGTCTACTATGGCTGTTCATGGTACCTCCAACCTGGAGAGTTCATTGAAGGTGCCGTATTATTGTCCAACCTCACATAGGTCATGTGAAGTGCTCTGAATATCTTGTTTCATTATGCAGGTACTGTCAAGTATCCGGTAACAGTGACTGCTGAAGACCTGGATGCAGCTATGATGGAGGAAGACATGAAGACAACAGCAGATCTTCAGCATAAAGTCAGAGGTGATGTCCCTGCTCTAAAGAAAATACCATATCAATTTGATTCCCCGTATCAAGCGACAACGTGAACTCATGAATTGTTTTGACTAGTTGCTCTATGGTTGATAATTCCCGGCAGGGGCGTCTCCGCGAGCAGGCGTTTGGTGTGTAGTGACACCACCGACCCGAGCTAACGGGGGGGTTTCGACTCCCTCCCACGCGCAGCCGTGCATGGGTGAGCCGTGTCCGGGAAAAGGGGATCCTGGGGGTTGAGGTGACGCTGGGTGCTCGGATTTTTAAGGCTCCCTGGCAGAGGCAACACACCCCTGTGGCCCCGGCTTCACGTAGACGACATCCCTGGGCTGAACCAGCCAGGAGAAATCGGCGGTTGCCTTTTCCTATCTACCCTCTCCTACCTTTTCCTTTCTTATCTTCTTTTCTTACTGTCCTGTCTTCTAATCCTTTCAGTTGCTTCCTAGTTTTCGTAGGTGGCCTGGGTTAACCTTGTGTTCTATATTCAGCCTTGGATATATTGTCGCAGTACAACGCGAATAAAACACAGGTACACCTTGAGGCAACGAAAGCAGCGTGTTTTCAACAGCTGAGCCACAAGATCGTCTTCTTCGGTCTCGAGTGAAGCTAGAGGCCCGCTACCTCGTGTACACTAAATCCCCCATCATTGTTTTCGTCCATATGTAGACACGCGTCATTTGCCTCCCTCTCAAAGAGCATCGCCCAGATGCAAAGTCTGTAAGGAAGTTTTTTTTTTTTTTTTTTTTCACAAGAAAAGTCTCGCATCACTCGCTGACGTAAGGCTTTATGCGGACTACGTGGACGAGTTCAGGATGGTGCTGGTGACGCCTTGTACTATGCGAACTGTCGGGAACAACTACGTAAGTGATGTCACTCAGTCTTCGCAGCACTAGGTACGGTCCAAAGTATCTTCTTAAGAGCTTTTCGGAAAGTCTTCGTTTCTGTACCGGCGTCCAAACCCATACTTTGTCGCCAGTTTGGTAGACGACTGTTCTGCGGTGAGCATTGTAACGGCCTGCATCATACTCTTGCTGCTGGCTGATGCGTAAACGTGCAAGTTGCCTAGCTTCTTCCGCGCGTTCGGTAAACGTGTCGGCATCCGGGACGATGTCGTCGCCTTCGTGCGGTAACATTGCATCTAACATGATTCGTACTTGCCGTCCATAAACGAGGCTGAACGGTGTCATGCGGGTCGTTTCTTGCTTGGCCGTGTTGAATGCGAACGTTATGTATGGCAAGATTTGATCCCAATTTTCGTGTTCACCGTCTGCATACATTGAAAGCATGTTTTTAATGGTTTTGTTTAGACGCTCTGTCAGCCCGTTCTTTTGCGGGTGGTAGGCGGTGGTCTTACAATGCTTTGTTCCACTCAGCATCAAGACATAGTCCAAAAGAGCTGCCGTAAATGCGGCACCTCTGTCTGTGATTACGACGGTTGGTGCACCATGCCTCAGTACAATATTCTCAATGAAAAATCTTGCCACCTCCTGCTGCTGTACCTCTCTGGATAGCCTTTGTCTCGGCATGACGGGTCAGATAATCTGTAACGACCATAACCCATCGGTTGCCTGCAGTAGAAGTAGGGAGTGGGCCCAAAATGTCCATGCCAATCTGGTGGAATGGAGTCATTGGGACCTGTACGGCTTGCAGGAGGCCAGCTGGTTTAGTTGGTGGTGACTTGCGTCGCTGGCAGTCGAGACAGGTACGGACATGGTTCTTCACTGGCTGTGGTTAGTCTTGGCCAGTAATACCTTTGCTGTACCTTAGCCAACGTTCTTGTGTAACCCAAGTGGCCAGAGGTAACCTCGTTGTGGCATGCTTTCAGTACTTCGGTGCGCAGTGCTGCTGGGATGACGAGTAGATAGGCGGATCCCGTCGACGAAAAGTTTCTTTTGTAGAGTACTCCGCCCCTTAAACAAAACGATGACAACACTCTTGCGAAAACTCTTGGCGCCTTCCCAGAACTGCCATCCAAGTAGGTAATTAAGCCAAGAAACTCAGCGTCGTCAAGTTGTTGCTGCGCAATGGTGGTCGTGTCGAGGACACCGAGAAATTATGTTTCCTCCTTTTCGGGTAGGGTCGCCGACTCAATGGGTGAACGGGACAAACGGTCGGCGTCCATATGCCGCTTCCCTGACTTATGTACGAGTGCCTTATCGAATACCTGCAGCCTGAGACTCCAACGCGCTAATCGGCCGGTAGGGTCTTTAAGATTTGTTAACTAACAGATTTGTTAACCAACACAGTGAGTGGTGATCGCTAATTACTTTGAAGGGGCGACCATATAAATATGAACGAAATTTTGTAACCGCCCATACCACGGCGA